AAAAATTGATTCGTTATTAAGGAATATTATTTATTATATAAGAGAACTCCTTCAAAATTTTGACAAACATCTAATAAATGAATATCTCCTTCAAATTTATATTTTATACATATGATAATTTAAATATGTATGTTGATTTTATTAAAATATAATTTTTATTTTTAAATATAATTTTTTTTAAATAAAGAAAATATGCATGTATCAAATGGAAGTGGGGGCAAGTGCCCCACTATGGACAACCTAGATACGTCCCTGTCTATATGGTGGTAGATACACATTATTTGTTTATCAATGTTTTGAAATTTATATTGTATTTTAGTATTTATAACATGCATCTATCTATAACATCCATAATCTATAATTTATCATCTATAATTTACAATCTATAATCCATAATTTATAATTTATAATCTATAACAATACATATATTAATCCTTTTGATATCCACGCTATTTTACCCTTAAAACATGTGATTATTCTATAATCTATAACTTCTATAATTTATATATAACTTAAAATTAAGACAAAACGATACAAAAAGGTATTGGTCTCCATTTTTTTTATCCTATTTTAATCCTTATTGGTTGTAACTCTCTTTTAATTTAAAACAATAACTATTTAAAAAAAAAACAATAAGCGTTGAACATACCTATGCTTTAATCTATTTTTATCTTTTCACTCTTAAAAGTTTTTTCTCCCTCTTTTGTACATTTTTTTACAATATCACCCTCTACGATTTTTTCATCCCAATCGATTCTCAATTTTCTCTGTATTTCAAACTCAATCACACTATATCTCGGTATGAATCACATTTCAATTCAAGTTGTAATATATTTTAAATCATCTTCTTTAATGTTCCAATATTTTTTTAATGAATTTCTTTGTTACTTTTTCTATTGAAATTTTAGTATATATTAAAATATGGTGAAGAAAAATAATACTTTGATTGTGATAACTACATCATTGAGAAGTATTTTTTTTATAAATCATCTTCAATTAAATATGTTAGAAATTATAATTTGTGAAATTGTAGGTATATATGTCGAAATGAAATTTGAATTTGTTGAGTAAATGACAATAGTTTAATTTCGACCATACTATGTCACCGCCAACTTCATGCAAAGGAACAAAAAAAAAAATAATAGAAAACATCCATGATAGAAAAAGCACACTAATTTAATCAAATTTAAAAACTTCAAACTAATAAATATATATTAATATATAAAAGGGATATCATTGTCAATAACTATTTTTAGTTTTTATTTTTACATGGACTATTTTATCCTTTGTTTATTTTTTTAATAACTATCTTTTTATGAGTAACTTTTCATTTTTTTCTTTTTTATTTATTTTTTTCTTTTATCTATACTATATAAGGGATACCTTTTTCGGTAACTACCTTGGTCTCCACATTTTTGGACCATTATACCATTTTGTTTTAAAAAATTAGAAAAAATATTTTTAATCAAATTTAA